GATGCAACAGGATATGCAGATAAATAGAAAGCCATAAAATTTCCTTATTGACTCAGACTTATACATGTTTTCAGAATGATCTGCAGTACCACTGATATTTCTTCGAGTAGCAGGCATGAAGATTTCAGTTCATAGGAAACATTCATAGTATTAAGTTTTCAGGAGATCGAATAGGATGTCTAGTGTGTTCCAATCAAAACCAATGAAAAGATATAAATCTTTTAAAACACTAATTGTTTACAACATATTTTCAAAACCATAATGGAACCCTCCAACCAAACACCGTTATGCAGTTTCCCAGAACTACATCCATAAGGGCTTACCCTAAGCACACAACAAAGGGAGCCAACCTAAAGGAATACCTTGGGGCCCGAGAGCCTATCCAAGGTTCACCTTAGGTCCGTAAGGATTTACCAGCTGTATCAGGGTTGAATCTTTATACTCTATAATTCTACCTATATATATTCCAATAGAAATCAGTTTTAACCGTAAATTATAATATTTGGATCGTGATCCAGTAAAATCTCGGAATGTAACAATGAAATAAACCATATAATTGATTTCCACCTATACATGATATGTAATCCCATTATTAACCCAATGGAGTGCCTTGGGCCTTAGAGCCTACCCAAGGGTCACCTTAGGTCCGTAAGGATTTACCAGTTTGATCGTAGCGGAACCTTCAGTCTACCCAGAAAATGTACCAATAGAACAATTCGAGTATAACCAGTGAAAACAGGAAACTATTGTTCATAAACTAGTAAATTCCATGATTCCACAAATCATGAGCAATCATATTTTTCAGTGAAAACCATAATCAGAGAACACGTACCATGTTGCCATGGTTCATAAACCAGTAAATCAATCATTTAGGTAAAAATCGTTTCAAAACATATAAAACTGTCATGTAGTACATGGGGAACACACTAGAGGATCCAAGTATTTTTTTAGAGGCACTTGGTAGTTATCAATAATGGAAAACGTGAAACTGATGTAATTTGATCGAATTCCATGAACGATGTCCTATTGAAAGGGATCAATTACTAATGGATATAATCAGACATTTAAAGTTGATATTTTATAATCCCACTATGATCCAGGTGCATCAGGAAGGTGCTCGGGAACCTTTATATAGAATAATTCTAGATTCAGATTTACGGAGAGTAATTCCATTACTCAAACAATCAGAGGTATTCAAGATTATGAATTGAATTATCATGATTTTAAGTCCAATTGAACCAAATGGGGTATTCAAGATCTTTTGCATCTGAGTTACTTGTGTTTTCAGATATGGCCGGAGTGATTTGAGTTGATAAGGGAGAAACGAAGATTCAAGAAATTTACAATATGTGTCGATCTATCGGATTATCGAAATAACTCAAGCTGAACAACTCTCAGAACTGATGCATGTCGATCGGTCAATTCGTTGCCCTTCCAGGATATTCACTCTTTAATACCAACAATTCATGTCTATAGATCATCTTTAGAATCATCGTTAAATAGATCTTAAGGAGACGAACAAATATTCTAATGGTCTTTATTTCATTTCCACAATGCAACAATATCATAAATTGTCGACGTACTTAATTCGTGGCTCATAACCCATATGGACAATACATCATGTAAGTTCATCAGCATTCCCAGACCCATCCAAATCATTTACTTAATCCTCGGTCATTGAGGTTACTTAGTTCATTCCCGATCACTTCGGAGTTTTCCAGAATAATTCAGACGTTTCTGAAATTCAGATACATATGGTACTTCCATTCAGTTCAATTTGGTCATATAATATAAAGTCATTTTGGTATTCTAAGTTGATTTAATCATTTCAAAGCTTGGGGTATCTAGTTATTCTATGACTTGGAGTCACTTTAGGTCATTTTACACTTTATGGACATTTTCTATAATTCTAATATATATCCGAAATTTAATTCAATGATTCCAAAGTTCAACTGGATCAAAACATAAGTTCTTAGGTCATCTCCCTTATCATAGTCATCCATTGTGCTTTTTACTCTTTAAGTGTATCATCATTATTCCACTCAATTTTTTCAGTGACATACTTTCGATAACTTAGGTTTGAATGAATTCTAGTTCCTTTAGCGTTCATGGTATTTTATTCCTTTGATCAATGGAGGTTATTATAGTTATTTCATAGCTCGAGGACATTTTGGTAATTCTTTTCAATTCAACATATGCACTATTTCTGATAACGGGTTAAGTATGTCTTTTCTGGGTTATCTTTCACCATCTGAGGAAATCTTGGTCTTATACAGCACAAGGGCATTTTTTGTAATTTTATCCTATAGGGCTATTTTTAGTAATTTCTTATCCAAATAATCTCGATACTTAATCTATAAAGTAATTTATAAAAATTTACTGATCTTGAAATCAATTCATTTATTATAGAATCACTGAACTTAAAATTATTTCCAATTGATCTTCCAATTTCTCTTTATCGAGCCGGCTGAGTCTTATATTGTGTTATGTCATTGATCAAATTTACGTCTGAGTCCAATGATAATTAATTACATCAAATGGGCCAATCATTTTTATTCATGCAATTATCATCTATCAATGAGTTCCAAAAAGCATACAAAAGATAGTGAAGTATTACCTCGATTTTTGTGTCATTTCGATCGACCATTTAAACTCCATTCAATATCCTTCGAACTTTAATTCAATGTCCAGTAATTCCTCGGATACAAGACAACCGAATTTACGTCAGAAACTGAACTTAATTGAGAAACTAATTTGAATTCGAAGATAAAACATTGAAAAACGGCTTATCATGTGCAAATTTGGCAAAACGAACTTCAGATTCTGACTCAGGATGTCAAAAAACATAAAATATGACTTTTCGAAAATTTTAACTTTTTCGGTCAATGTCTACCAGTCAAAGTCAACGGTATGGCCGGTCAAAGGTCAACTCTGACCAAAGTTAACGGGTCGGGCAGGCGGGTCGATTTTGTTCAAACTCGGTTGATCGGTTCGGGCCGGGTTGGACCGGTTCTAGAAGATTTTCAGGGCAAGCAGAACATGCCTACGCGCACTACCGGTGAGTGCGGCGACGACGAAGGTCCGATTGGTCGACCGATTACTCCCTATTCATGATCTTAAAAAAATCAATCCAACAACATCAACAATCAACTAAAAATTTATCAGAATTAAAAGAAAAGATCTGAAACACTTACCCACATCGGCGGTCGGTGAAAACGACGACGGTGAATGACAACCCCAATCGAATTTTGATCGAAATTGGCTGGGGAACACGATGTTGGGGGCGATGAGACTCTACGGCCGACTGTTTGGTCGGAATCGGCATAAAACCGAGGCGACGAGGAGTGTTCTCAACGGTGATTTTAGCATCGATTCACGATGAACTGAAGTGTTTCACGGTGGGCTTTGGTCTCCGATCGATGGGGAGTCGAATGGGGGTAACGACGCAGGCTTGAGCGATCGGACGACAGGGGAATCGATTAACTAAGGGGTTGCTCAATTTGGGGAAATAATTCAAGTCTTACTTATTTCACCGGAGAAGGGGTTTATTTTCTCCGTCTAATAAAAATGGTTAAATTCAAGAGTGGGTCCTTGAATTTATTGCACTTTCTAAATCTATCTATAAAATTTTGAAAACTAATAATTTGACCCCCTAGATCGGGGTGTTACATTTTTAAATGCAATATAAGATTTTCATGCACTCAGGGGTTGTTTGGGTAAGGGAATGTGGGATTCCCATGGGAATGGAATCCACATTCTCATGTTTGGTTGGCCGGGAATCTCATTCCCGATAATGTTTTATTACCAATAGTGGATGTTTAGGGGTCCCCCATTCTCTTAGGTATTGTTGGATTACCGGTATTTTGGACTAAAATATTCTTAATTTTTTTTAAAAAAAATATCCTTCTTCAATAATTGAATAATAAAAATTCTACGAATGTTAAATTATAAATTTATCCTTAAACTATTTTAGATTTACAAAAAAAAATCTTTAATTAAAATTTTATATGAAGTTCAGGGGTTAAAATAAAATTTTATCATTTCATTAAATCTTTTTATATTTTCAATTTTGTAAAAAAAATTATATAAATTTTATGAATTTAATTTTTTTAAAGAAAATATATAAATATTTTCTAACTTTTTAAAAAAACTAATATATAATAAGGACAATTTGATCAAATATACATTCTTATAATCTTTTATTCCTTTAACCAAACACGGTAATCTTACATTAATGCTAAACCAACCAAACACAAAATACAACATTCTCAGTAATCCTATTCCCTAATAATCTTTTATTCCCACTGATAATCTTACATTCCTTGAACCAAACGCACCCTTAAGGTTTATATTCAAGCCTGAGTTCGAACTAAGTATGAGAATGTTTCAAATTCATATTTTTTAGCTCAAATTTTAAATTTTGATTTTGAGTTCGAACCAAGCTTGACAATTTTAAACTTTCGAGCTTCCGAGTCGAACTCAAATTAGAACTTCCCAAGTTGAGTCGAGCTCAACAATATCCAAGCTCAACTTGACTTGTTTTTGGGGACCTGTTGAGTTTAGAGTTTTCTTGACACAATTTGGGTTACAAAAATCTTATTAACAATCCAGCCAATTGCAGTGGAAAACCAAATCATTGAAAATCGTGCAGTTTTAAGTTTAGGGCATGTCCTACAAAATATAAATAAAGGTTTGAGATGTAAGGTAAGATGTCTTTGTCTCAGATAAGATCATAAGGTGTTTCTTTGGGTTTATGTGAGAAAGGGGAGGAACCCCTCCTGTTTTGCTAGCTGTTGCTGGCTTGTTGCCCCAATTGACTTCCCCTTTCATCAAAGATTTGTCAAAATCTCAAAACAATGAAACTTACTCAGAATCTACTTTGCTATCTTTTGGAATATTTGAAAGCAAAAAGAATCGATCCAATGAAACGACATGAAACTGGCTAGATCCCGACTGTAATCAAATATAATAGACAACATCCATAACCCTACAGCATGTTTTTTACTAGTTGATTATGGATTTACAGCACATTAAATTAGAGTGCAGTCCAAGAACAAGGAAGCCACCTAGACTGAATGCTATACAAACAAGGACTCGGTACCAAGCCGAACCTGTAGTCTATGCGCAATGCTGAAGTGTGGAAACATGAAACCACCATGCCAGCCGAAGCTCAATCACCCAGAATACAAAGTGGCTGCCGCATGCTTAGTTCTGCTTTGAGTGCCGGAAAACGTTCCAAGTCATGAGAATCACTTAAGATTTTCTGCACACAGAAAAATCAGTGTTATTAACTTGGTATTACAAAGAGAGCACCAGGATTAACAGTAGAACCAGCTCTAGAGTACTGAAGATATGCCTAAAAAAGAGATTAAACAAGAAACAAAAGCAATTAAATAAGGGCAAGGGGATAAATTCACCAATGCAGCAACATGTGCCTCTTGCAAAATGTTGCCATCCATTTCCAACCTAGCAATAGGAAATTCGGGAAGGTGTCCGGACTGTTTTTTGCCGAGTAAATCACCAGGACCACGTAGAAGAAGATCCACACTAGCTAAGTGGAAGCCATCTGATGACTTCTCAAGCATCTTCAGGCGACCTAGGCCACTTGAAGTAGATGCTACTAATATACATTTAGACTTTCTTGTCCCACGACCAACTCGTCCTCTAAGTTGGTGTAACTGAGCGATTCCGAATCTCTCAGCATTCATAACAACCATCATAGATGCATCTGGGACATCAACGCCAATCTCAATTACTTGCGTAGAAAGCAAAATATCTGTTCCTCCGGACCTAAACTCTCTCAATGTTTCTTCCTTTTCATCACCCTTCATTCTTCCATGTAATAACCCACATTTATAATCGGGAAACTGTTTTGATATGATCTCAAGATCCGCAGAAGCAGCCCGAAGCTGAGGTAATTGCTCAGATTGTTCAATGACTGGATATACAAGATACAGCCTTCCTCCTGCTTCTAACTCCTCTAACATCATCTGTAACAAAAGAAAATGTTCAAACCGGTTTATGCATTCTACACCAATATAAATAAAGATGTGAACTTTCATGTACAAGTTAACAATCTTCATTTTGTTCAAGGAATGTTAAATGTATTTACATTGACTAGCTGCAGTGGCGGAACTATGAAGGGACGGGTGAGGCTATGGTCCCCCTCCCTAAAAAATATCAAAAAAATCTTTAGAATATATATTTGGTCTCCATAAGTTTAGATTTTTTTCAAATGTCCCCCCCAATAAATTTAAACTTTTTAAATGCCCCCCCAATAAATGAGGGTGAGTTCCGCCACTGTCTAGCCCTACACTTTTCATTGCTCTGAGAACCATAAGTAAAGGATCACATAATCAGACATAATCAGAGCAACGAATGCTCATAAGTTTTTCTATCTTCAACTGACTTCTCGTATATGAAATGGGATGGTTATCAATCCCTAGCAGGAACTACCGCGCCAATATATTTTTTATTCCAAAAGTACAAGAAAACATGCAAATGAATGCAAAGAAAATGGCACTAAAAACATCACAAAACTAACACTATACAGTGTCACATTTTCAGTTATCCAGCAACTATCATTCTTTCTCCTTTTAAGAAAGACAGAAACAAGACACATGCAATATTTCAATGGAGTAGGATTAGTATATGCTTTACCTTATAAATACTCTTAAAGCCATTGTCAGTTCCTTCAATGATGTATGTTTCAACAGGTATCCTTCCAGGAGGTAAGTCAGTAATCTGTAATTACAGGAACCCGAGAAAAATCATTAGCGGACAATAAGCAATATAACTGTAAATTAGTCCCTTAATGCACCATTAAGTTTTCCAGATTATCCTTAACTGTAGGCAATGAATCCGACTAACTCACCTCAATCTATCATTTTAAATTTTCTTCTAATTTAGGTATTGAAAACCAAGTTTGACACTCCTTTCTCTTCCAGCTCTCTATTATACTTTCATGTATCATGCTTCAATTTCCTCTTGTTAAATAAACTTTAAATAAAGAAACCAATATTTTGTTCAATACAAAAAAATTATATCAAGGATCCAACCTATTTAAACATGGATTGCAACTATATAGAGAATTCAAGCAGCCAGAAGTATGGCAAATGGAACGTACATTTGTCAAAGACACATCTCCATACAAAGCAAGAGCAAGGGTCCTTGGGATAGGAGTAGCTGACAAGGCGAGAATGTGAGGAGCCATATAGGTGTCATGTTCAGAGGAAACATCTATTTCAGCTGATTGCGTTCTTGAGCTTGAAGTATGGTATAGCTGCAAGGTTGAGTTTCTCCATTAATTCGTCATAACAACATTCACACATAATAAAATGAGTAAATTCTGCTAAGAACTTAAAGATAGAATAATCACTTGCTTCAAGATCAAATAAGACAAACGCTATCATGTGAAACATTATGGAGCAACATATTTCATTAATCAGATTCTGAACAAAACTTCCTTTTCTTCTGTTTGGAGCAGGAGGAGGTGTGGGGTTTACCTACGTTTCTTTTCAAGAAAATGGTGATGACCAGCATTCTAATATCAATTAGAATTTAACGTGTAGATGAAAATCATAAATGGATTTAAGAATGCGATTAATATGTAAATGCTTTTTAAAATACACTAATTGTTCAGGGTTAAAAGTGACACCTGACATTCTGACTAACACGCCAATATGTAAATAGATGGCAATATCAATAACAAAAATAAAACCTCAGAAACAAAGGAACATTATAAACTCTACGAGAGAAGATGGAAAAGAATAAAAGAACCAGACCATTAGTCCAAACTATTATTATCCATCATTTTGTTGAAAACCGAACCTAATCTGAAGATATCACATTCAATATATTTCACCATCGACACATATAGCTCCTCAGATATATGCCTATAATTTATCATTCTCAAGCCAAGTAAAAGTGGACAACCTTACTGTTAAACTTTCCTCTCTGGATCACACCAAAACGATGCTGCTCATCCACCACAGCAATACGTAGGGAAGAAAACTCCACTTTTTCGGCTATTAAACTATGGGTTCCAATGACAAGTGAGATATCTCCACTTTGGAGATCCTGAAGCCTAAAAATGTTAGTGAAACCAAAGATGATTATACAACATGAAAAGAAGGCACCAGTGATATACTTACCTTGCGAATCAGACGTGATTGCTTTTGTGGGGTTGATCCAGTTAGTAAAGCAACAGAAGGTTTATTATCAACCACATCCATCTTCTCTAGCAGATTTACAAAGTGCTCATAATGTTGGATTGCAAGCAATTCAGTAGGAACCATGAAAGCTGCCTAAAAATAATATGAAGTCAATTCAAAATATATTCATGTCCCATTAAAACTAGAAAAGAATAGAATACCTAGGAGCAATAATCAATCACACAAGCAAGACTACCTGATTTATTACCAGAATGAGCAAGTGACCAGCAGCATATAGTATGCTTAGCAGTATGTATATATGACTGTTTAGAAGGCTTAAAGAAGGTGAAATGTCAAAGTGGCTTGAATTTACCAACCTGATAACCAGAAGCAATAACCTCCATGCATGCCAGAAAAGCAACCACGGTTTTCCCACATCCAACATCTCCCTAGAAAGAGATCCATATATTATCAAATATCAGATAAAATCAAGGAAGCTTCTCCATTTTCAAGGATAACAATATAAATATATGACAAATATCAGATAAAAATCAAATCTCAGCTCCTTGAAGATAGATTATTTCCCCTTCCCTTCATATAAAACTTGATCTTTGCCTATTCAAGATGAAGTTATTCCAAATAAAGTCAACCTTAAGTATAATCTTGCAAACAATTACAAATATAAGTGTTCAAGATTCGCAGAGAGATTAGATGTCGCCATTGCAATTTGGATTTTTTATTTTCTTGTGTCAAGGATTAGTAAAAGTAAAAATATTCTTGGCACAAACAAGTAGTTGATGATGGATTTTCCCTGGTATTTATAGCCCAATTCATCTCATTATACATGGATGGAAGATGCCATGCCTTCATCAAAATCAAGGATCTAGAAAAAAAATCCAGTTTCCTGTATTGTGACACCTCAACATCTTAATGCTTATTTATATCTCGTAGTAAATTAAATCCCATGTTCCACAACAGTAACTTGTAGAAAATACATTATTATCAATACTTCCTCTCTACTGCTTTCTGTTGTTTCCATTACAATTGCATTCTTACTTCTTCTTAGCTCGTATTTGTAACAGCTATAGTTACTTTCAAGAACTTCATGAAAGATTTAAAAACATATTGGAACAGGCACAAGAATTTCAAAGAATGAAAAGGAAAAGTTTCTAGCAGCAAGAACCCAGAACCTGAATCACAAGAGACTATCCTTAACCATGGCGCTCTACTAAAATTTGAGAGGGAAACTATCAGGAAAGATACAAGCAAGTAACTATATCTTTTTTTATCAGGAACCAGTCAAACTAATAACCCTTTCGACAAATCTAAATTAGGATTTGAAACCTAAAACACAGAGGAAGTTTTCCAAACCTTTATGTTTTAAAAGTCATAGAATGGTACACAAAGCCAAGGTAACTCACGATCAAAGATCTTTTCTGGTCACCAAGAATATGCTAGTAAATGTGGTAAGAGTGTCATGGTAATGGAAGAGAGGTGCATACATATCTTCTAGTTTTAGGAAGGCAATTTTGGGAGTTGAAATAATTGGATGTATTTCTTAAAAGGTAGCTAGGGTAGAGGGTAAGGGGGCACACAACATAAAAAGCCAAAGAGCTCATATATACTTTTATAGTGACAGGTAATTCATGAAGAAGGTTAGAAAATTTAGCTTCAAGAACAATAGAATTAAAGTTAAAAAAAGTCCATGCCTCAATAAAATTAGAAGATATGTTATACCGTTGAATAATGAAAAAAAGTAGCATTCTAGCAAAATCCAGAACCTGTAAAAGCCGATTCATTGGGACCGGCCTCTTTAGATCCCATATAATTTCTGAAATAGCACTAAGTTGACCAGAGGTAAGCGAATATGGAAGAGCTTTAAAAAATTCCTTGGTCAGACTAGACCATTCTTCCATGTAAGCAGCATTTGCTTCAGGTTTTCTGTACTTCTCCAGCAATCCATCTTTTTCAATTTGTGTGCCAAGACCATCAAGCATTTGAAATAAGCGCCCCAACTGAAGATAGTATCATTTTTCTAATGAGTATATATGCAACTAATGCATAATATGAGATCCAATGAATTTTCAGTACAAAACAGCAGGATATTCAGATATGATACCAAGAATGAAGACATCATAATGTTCTAAATTAATCTAATGCGAAATATATAGAAATTCACAAAGGTATACAAAATAAAACTAGAGAAGAGGCAGCCAAGTAAATAAGCTCATCAAACTCCTAGCTTAATTTATGACATGGGAAAGCTAGGAGGTTAGGGTTTATGGCTGTTCAGTAATTAGATACTTGATAAAATAGGAAATTTCAGATAAAGAACGAGAAAAAGGAAAGAAACTCCTAAGTTCCACACTTAAGGTTCCTCAAGAGTGATACCTAAGCTTCATTGTATCAAAACAATCGCAAAACAATAATGCTGGCAAGAACTATCCGAAATAGTTTTATAAATTCAAAAACATAATGTTTCAACATTTGTTTATTTTAATCTATCAAACAACACTTAATTAGTTGAAAGACAGGTTATCCAGTAAAGATAAATGCTAAAACAAACAAAAAATATAAAGGTAGCAATCATGAAAGATTACCTGTAGGTAGAAGAACTCATCAAATATGAGCCTTTTGCGAGCTAAATCAGCCTCCTTTATGTTCATTGGCTGGTGAATCCCAACGTATGCCTACATTTTTAACAAAAATAAGATCAAACGATGAGAATAAATGAAGTGCTACTAAACCATGGAACACAATGCTAGGATTATGACTCATTTATATATCATATTTTTTAATGTTTGATGTTTTGGGGGGCTTTACTTGTAGTTACTTACAAATTCCTAGATGGATCATTGAATCACTTTTTCTGAAAGTTTCTTTAGGCCATTGTGATCATTTTCAATTCTTTAGAAATTCTTAACCATAGATTAAAACCTAGACCGGCCAGCTGAATCTGAAATCAACAAGTTATCTAGTTTGGTGCATTATAAGAAATCAGTTTGTGGGTTCAAGAGGGCTCCGATGGCATGCTACTTACAGACTCCAGGAGGTTGTGAGTTTGAGAGGGCTTAGATGCATAATGTCTTCTTGAAGCGAGTTAATTAGATAAAGGGTGGGTGTTAGGGGTAGATTAGAAATTTCGAAAATAAAAATAGAACATATATTAGTGGGTGATATTAAAATAGCTGATTTGGGGGTAAGAATGAAGAAGGATTCTTTTTCTTCCTCGTGTTGGAATGCTCCTCCTTTAGGTTACGTTAAATTAAATGTTGATGGTGCGATGTCTAAGGAGTGGGATAAAGGAGGCATTGGTGGATTGTTAAGGGATGCTCAAGGGTTGCAGCAGGGTTCGTTTTCCGAAAGGATTGGGGGGTCCTCCTATTCTTTCAGAGCTATTGGCTATAAAAAGAGGGCTGATGTATATTGAGGAGAAATCTTTGGTTTCATTTCCAAGGGTCATCTTGGAATCAGATTCCCTTAATGCACTGAAATGGATTAAAAATCCGGGTGTATGTACTCCTATGTTCCAGCCGTTGGTGAAAGACATTGCTGCATTAGTGGAGAGTAGAGGGGTAATTGTTAGGCATATTTTGAGAGCTGCTAATTGTGAAGCGGATAAACTAGCTAAAGAAGGAATAGGATGAATATTAGATTATTGACTAGGTTGCACAATTATTGAGCTGGTTATTTATGTTGTGTTTGGCTTTTAAGTTTTATGTTGTAACAGAACTTCTTAGGATGGATATGTATTATTCTGGTATTAATGAATTTTTAGGCACTCTTTTCCTCCTTCCTATGCCCTTCATGTTATTGTTGTAACATGGAGATTAAGACGGCGGTTTTTAACGAGGCCTATCCAATTTCTATAAAAAAAAATAGAACATTTATAAAATGATTCAAAAATGAGAATTTTGAGGTGAATGTTTGAATCTGATCATTCGAGTTAAGAAGAAAAATAATTAAAGCCAATTGAAAAAAAAGTTAAAACAATGACTGCTTCAGGATGACATAAAAAACTGGAAGATCAGATGGTTACAAATCAAAATTACGATATATACCTACAGCTAGAGGTGCATGTGCAGTGCTATGTAAAAAGAACAAAGAGGGTAGATGTTATTAAGAAAGATTCCGTATCTAACCATTTCTCAAGGAGTATGAACTAATATAAAGGACAAAACTCATGTAACTATTTCAAACTAGTCTGAAAATACGCTATAGTGAGGAACATGCAGTTGACAGGATTAGTGCAGAACTAAGTTTAGGGTTAATAACAAAAACCTTGCCTCTTAACTTAAGACAATGTCTTTCTAAGGGAAAAGCTCAATGTTTTATAATGCAATAATAAAACAAAATCCCATTAAATTGAGAAGCAAATATTACAATGCAATCATCACAAGATGATACTATTTATTTTGAAAAGGTACAAGATGATACTATTGCACCATGCCAAACTTGTAGGAAACAATAATTTCATTGTTAAGATACTGATGCATCATGGAGGAAGAAAAGGTAACGTACATCATGGAGACGTAAAAGTCCAAATTCGTTGATGATTTCATTGGGAATAGGATCAATATTTTCCTGCACGGCTTGTAGAGCCCTGAAAGAAAATGGAATGCAATATTAAAGGGAAGAACTAAACTTAAGCACAAGAATTATCAAATTCATTTTATGGGAATTAAAATAAATGCTATGACGAAATCACATTCTATTGCATAATAGAATGTGACTATGTCATGGTCTCGTGGTGGAAAAATCTCATATGCTATAATCATTGTATATTGAAATCCTTACGAAAAGAGTCTAAATGTTCGGATTCTGTTTTGACAAAAGAGCCATTTAAGTCTTAGTACATCTGTCTTCCTGCTTATAATATAAACAATTTAAGGTCAATTCCACTTCAATTATGGTGTACGGTTCAACTTCAGGTGTTAATATAAAGGACAACAGCCATCCAGATAATAAGCTGAATGATGCTTCTAGAAAATGCTCAGTCACAACTCACAAGATTTTCTTTGATGGCTACATTTAAACCATGAGCGCAATAGCATTATCAGAAAAAAAAGTTCTTGTTAATGTGGACTATAAAACTATATCACTTGCTGCATTCAGCAACTAGAAAATGGGGACACCAAGTTTTAGTGCCCTCACCACCTGCCCTTATTTCCACCTCCGAGGCATAGGTCAACCATTACAACAACATAACTCCCGAGACAAACTAAGACATAATATTTACAGAAGCAATGGAGACAATTACAGTACCAAAACACAAGTACTACCACAGTATAATTTTTCAACATGGGAACATTATTTTTATGGATCGAGATGGTTTCACAGTTACATAATTAATCAACTACACACAAATATACACATAACACACAAACATATGAAGCTAAATTAATGTCAGAAAATAAAACCATGCAGTACAAGAACTGAAAACTGATTTAATAACTGTTCCTTGAAAGCCAATACTGATGTAACAATTCAAAAATAGTTTACAAACCTTGCAATGATGTCTCTAAGAAAATCAGGTTTTAAGCCACCTTTCGAAGGATAGATAGGGTAAGGCCTCCCCTTTGTGCTAACAGATGAGTCATTTTCATCTTTGAGTACATCAATACTGTATTCCCTCATTTCATGGTGATCTTTACTCAAAGCCCTCACCTAGATTGAAATTTTTTTTTATTACTTATGGATGATATTCTAAGCAATGGAAATGGATACTTTAGGATGAATGACAATAACTAAAAAATGAAGTTAATAAAAGCCGTCATTCTTTTCATGTAGATGAAAATCAACACTAGTCAGTGCTTATTTCACTATACTAGTAAAAAAGACAACCAATACAACTGAAAATTATTCAAACCATGAAAAAAATTAAAATTAAAAGCCGAAATATTAAGCTCGCTAATTGAGAATTCCTGCAAGAAAATTATATTTCACAATCCTTATAGCATTTGCTTCACATCACCTCACCACAATTATAAAATACATGCTTGCACAAAGAGTTGAGGAAACTGAAGCAAACAATTAATTTAGGAACCCACATACCAGGATTTAGCCTATACATGTCAATCACTGTCCTTGGCCTTACACCTTTAATGAAAAAAGGCATTGACAAGAATATGAGCTGAGCCACTAGGAAGATTATGACAGAAAAAGAAACTCACCTTACCACTAACACATACAAGTTCTCCCACTTTATGCTTTCCTTCAAGGCATCTAAGAAAAGGTTGAGAAGCAAAACGAGCACCCCGGAAGAACTTCTTCAAATGCAAATAAATTGTCTTCTCACCCTTGGTATCAGTAGTATCGCCGTATATATTATCCGAAATGGGTTCACTATTTGCAACTTCACAACCCACAATCACCTCAAGAAACGAAAAAGAATAACTGGCTCTAATTCCCCTGAATGAAAAATGATAAATATTAACATAAAAGCATCACTATTCCAGTCACAATGTCGTATCTCTATAATTGCTATAAATGTTTATATGTGTTCCACAAACAACTTTGCAAGTCACGGTCAATTACTTGTCCCCGATTTCAAGTTTTTTATTGTTTGTTTGATGCATTAAATAGCAAAAACATATTTTGGAGAATTTTCAAAGGAAAACAAAAACCATTTTATGCGGTATGTATGACAAGTTCTAATATGCATTAACTGTTTGATTGACAACCTTTTCAAGTTTCTGGGATAAAAAAAGGACAACAAGGCCAGATTTAGTTAAATCTAGTGATGTCATATGCATATCTTGTCAATAAAAACAACTGAACTTTAATGCTTGAGCCAAACATAAAGGTGTGATAGTGTGTTTCTAGTCAACAAAATGATTACAGTTTCATGAGCAAATAGTTTATCACCTTGAAGACATAATTTTCCCAACAAAAATCAAGTACTGCCCATCATTAATCTCAGTTTGTGCATTCTGTAAATCTGCATAGGTCCGGGGAAAGTGATGTAACAGTTTCCGCAACTGCATGACAGGAGGGTAAAAAGGTAAATAAGGTGAAATATGCCTTGTAAAAACACAAGAACCTCATTGAATGTTCCTTTTACATAATTTCAAATGAACCTACAGTGAAAAAGCCACATTCTTCTAGTTGGTGAGATTGCCTTTTACTTAAACCAGGAATGCAACTGACGGATCTATCAAGAAAAAAATCAAAAGTTGTCATATCCAACTGTGGTTGGATCCCAACTTTACTAGAAGATTCCTCCTCAGTAATTAGATGATTGGACTTTCCTTCAAATCCTAAAGTCATGGACCAAGAAGATTGATCCAACTCTTCTTTATCTTCTTCCACAGTAAGAGGATGATCTGATTTTCCTTCAGATTCCAAAGTTGCGGAACAAGAAGACTGATACAAATCTGAACTTTCTTCCACTACTACAGAAGAACCAGTCTCCGGAAGGGGTTGATAAAAAGAAGGCCAGGTTTCAGACAGATCATTTGGATCAACCCACTTTTCATCCATGGAGTTGGATAAAAATCCTTGAGCTTCTAATAGTGCCCTTATTCTTGAGCTACTAGTTGCCTCATCATACAGTTCTACTCGAGGGGAACTACCCAAAGTGATGGAAGGAAACCGTTTACATGCAAGGGAAAGATCAAAATCATCTGTAGCATCTCTGAGATTTCTATCAGGTTGCTCATCAGGTCTTTCATTCTCAAATAAATCATGAAGGCCATTATAACCCATCAAAACTGATACCTGCAAAGCAATGAAATGTTGAAGTCTTCAATGGACAAGTAACCGGATGTATAGAAGACAGAGCAAAGGAACAATTCAAAATCCACATTAGGTTACAAACTTTCAAATGCCTCGTTACAAAGTGAAAAGAAAATTTTAAATACATTACGGCGAACTACCAAGAAAAGTATCAATTCAGAAAAATACATAAGCATGGAAGTATCAATTCAAATAGTAATTCCTCAGTCTCTCACACGTTACGAAATTACAGAAACAATAATTAAATCATGACAGCCCCATTTGACAGTATCAGGAATAGGTGATACATGCTAAAAGCTATAGACATTCAACTTGGAAACCTATGTTAAAGAGCATATTACACTTTCCATCCTAATGATTTAAGAAAAATTCCCTTCAAACTTGGTTGTTTGAGCACAGTTGCTAACTCGTTCTGCAGGGTTTTATGTCAAAGAGAAAAAATGTTTTAAACTAATTTAACATTAGCATGCCACTCTCCAACTGTATCATGCATTCTCCATTTTTAATTGTAATCCCCCTTAATTTTATCTGTGTAAGTTTCACAAAAAACTTGATGTTAACAATTAACAAGGAAACATTAGAAATATAAAAGTAATTTTTTATATTTAAACATGCATTCATATCAAAATATATAATTGTAAGATTTGGGTCCTCGGTACCCTTCGAACAACAAAATGAAAGAAACAAAGAAAATATAATATTAGTCAAGTTTACTAAAATGTATAATAAAATGAGAAATTGAAGGAAAAAAGCGAAATAAAAAGAAGTTAGATATCTGCTTTCTACAGGTATCAAAAATGGCATGTATCGCTTTTGATGGAAACATAATATAAGTATAGCAAGTGAAGAAAATAGTTCAGTACTTGAGGATATAAAGAAAAGTTTAAAAAAAATGTGAATAGCTTGTGATTAGACATTTACCTTGTTCAGCAGCTTTGAGCGTTCTGTGATACTGGCTGTATCATAATTATTTACTTCCTCCAATAACTTTTCCGGAAACTTGTGCTTGGACCGAGAACAAATTTTTGAAACTTTATTGAAGAGGAAATTATTAAACCTAACATTAATCGAAGGCAACTCAAAGTAAAACCCTGTCTCAATCATCATGGTTTAAGCAACCAGAAAAGTTAATGAAGAACGTTACCTCATTTTTCTACCTAAAGCGTTCCTATAGCCTCTCTCTGCTTCAAATACTATAGCACTTCTCAAACTTTTCCCAGTAAAACACTGAAAGCAAGAGGAAAATTTCAAAAGTAGGTAAAAAAAATTCAATATCAACATGCTAGGTTAAGTATAACAGCTTCCAAAATAAGTTATGTCAATAATAGGGTCTCTGTAACAGAAATGCAAGTACCTTTAATGGGCAGAAATAGCAGAAGAGAAGAACCAATTTATAAGAATGAAACGGTGCTAGAATGAGAGTGAAAGAGAAAGACATCAAAAAATTTCTAATTTGTCATTGAAAACATATCCAAATGATTGTTAGGATCACTAGATTTGGAAGTAGTTACCATTTTCATGTTAAGAGAATATCGTCCTTAACAAAACAATTCACTTTCAAAGCAAAAGAATTCAGAATTTGAGCTCAGTAGTTGCCTTTCAACCTAAGAGTTCAACCAGGTAGATTTACAACTAAACAGATGAATTTGCCCAACTTGGCAATGTTAGCCAGTAGTCATTTGTCATACTTGGTTTTTCACTTGTAGTTATACTTTACAATAGCCTCTCAAATTTTCTGACACACAAAGACACACCACCGTTCATCATTCTTCCAATCCAACTCAATCCTACAACATTACTCTGACCACTTCAAAGCATACTCTAAAACAACAATAATCTGACTAGATCATTCATTTACAACAAAAGAGAAATCCAAGTACCATACCATGCTACACGAAAGCACGATTGAGACCGTCAGTGCCATGTGATACGACGAACTTACTACACCAAAAGAACATGCCTAGCTCATCAAAGCATATATATAATCCTGCAAAACGGTTTTTGAGTAAGAATCCAAAGAATAATAAAATCAACTGCTACAAACCCATCCAAAAAGAAAACATAAACATTGAGATTTGAAAGATTTGGGTGTCTTTCAAATCAAAAATATTTTGTGTTCTCATTACAAGTCCTCCATCTCCAGCTTCATCTCGGGAAGGAATTCGAAGTTGTGAGAACTGAACCAACGGACTTTGAGCAAGAGAAGCCTAAGTTTGAAGTTCCTTCTCATTTTTTTTTACATGCAGTTTTACAACGAACATAGAGAAGTAAAAGAAACGCAAGCAAAACAAAACAAGTTGAAATATAAAATATAGACGGAGATTATGCAATTAGGACGAACCTGGGTTTTCGGCAACAAGATTTCCCCTTTTTTTATGTGAATGGCAATGCCTTCAGTTGCGGCGAGCAAGTGCTAGAGTATCTAAAGGAAATAGAGATAAATCACAACCACATTGACAACAGCTGCAATGAGAGAATTTTGAAGAAACACTCTTCCATTTTGTTCGTCTGAATTCCTTTTCTATCTTCAGTTCCTTTGGGCTTTCTCTGTCGGGCCGGGTTCGGATTTACCCCGAACTTAATTTTATTATTTAAGTCCCTAAATTATTACACTCATTTTATTGATAAGCATTTATCTCATATATTAACCAAGAAAACAGCGACGGCTGTTACATTACAACCACGGCAGCCAGGGCAACAAGAAGCCCCGAAACTTGAACCAATCTGCCAAGCAGAACATAGCTGCTGATTAAGAACATCAGACCTATTAATACTGCAGCTAACCAACTTAATACCAACGATCTCACTTGTAACCCTCCAGATCCGGTTTGTAAGTTAGACTCAAATTTAAGTGGTCACATATCCCATTCAGAGTTTTTTTCTATTTCCTTAAAATACATTAGATATAATATAGAACAAAATATTAATAATACAGATATATCCAAAACGATAGTAAATACATGTCACCAAACATAACCGAAAAACATATAGAAATATACGTTCGTACAAAATAAGTAGTTGATCTCCCTTAATGCCAAATCTACTAGTTTACGGTCTGCTGTTATCTGGAAAAAGGTAAAAACTACATAATGAGCTAAAAAGCCCAGTGTGCTCCATATAGTATATAAAAAAAACATACAGATAAAAACTTTCAATAAAATCGGTTTATGCAACATGTTTTTAAAACATGAACACTACCACATCCGTTCACATCATAAATGTGTAGGTTCTCCAGAACTATACACCCAACCGCACATGCCATTTAGACCCTGAACACAAAGCCGATGAGTCTGCAGATAATCTTCCTTCAACAATACCCCCAATGACAATATTAAACATGAATGTATTCAAGTGAAAAGAATGACTAATCACTTAAAACATAAAAATGTTTCATACTTGGAAACCATATGCAGAAATACAGAAATCAGAATTCAAAACAGTAATATATGGTAATTCAGATGTCAGATAATCAGATTTCAGAAATCGGTATGAAATACCTTAATCTAGAAATTATATCGGAATATACAGTAAATCATACATCAAATACTTGGTATTCAGATGAATCATTTTAAAACAGTAATGTAATACTGTCAGGAAACACACCTGTAACAGTCTGAGAAATCAGATAGGAAAGCCTACTACTGGGTTTGTCGATCACGCTCTGCTGCAGCGCTAGATCCTACGAATTGGAAAAATCCATATTGGAATCTTAATATAAATAATCTTAATCTTTATTTAAATAATATACGGAAACCTAAGGGTAATTCTTGTAGTACGCGATTCGGGCTGATCTGACGAACGAACAACTCCGGACCTAACTGATCCTCGCTCAGGTGAAACACAAGTACCTTCATAAAATATTTTATTGAATGAATTTCTTAACCAAATCTCAAATAAATAATTAAAATATTAAAATACTAAGCCCTTTTTGGATTTACGTGCTCGATTTGGGAATTTCGAGTCATAATTTGGCAAAACGAACTTCGGAATCAGATTCAGGACGTCGAAAAACATAAAGTATGACCTTCTGGATATTTAAACTATTGGTCAAAGTCAAAGGGTTTGACTGACAATTTGGAGACTTTCGGGTTCGAATTTGGTGAAACGAACCCTAAAAACAAATTCAATACGTCAAAAAATGTCAGGATATGTATACTAGAAAAAGATTAACGGTCGTTTAATGGCCAGTCAAAGTTCTGGTCAAAAGAAGTCAACGGTCAACAGGTCGGTCGGGTCGGACCGGTTCGGACCGATCAACCCGGTTCAGACCGGTCAAACCGGTTTCAAGCACTGGCCGAGCCTTCCCCACGCACAATGGCGGTGCGTGGGGGCGCGTGGGACCTCCTCCGGTGTCCTATAATTCACGAAAAATTTTCTAAAAATTATTTTAAGCGATTTCGAGATACTTACAAAGCTCGGTTCAAATTTTTGAACGGTGGAGAGCTCGATTTCAACAAATCGGAAACTTTGACCGCTTCACCTCCCCACACGTCGCCGTCTACGGAGACCAAGGATGACACCGGTAGACTCGGAACGACACAAGGAACACGATGGTGCGGGAGGTGTTCTAAACGGAGCAACGATCGGCGATGAATTTAAGATTTTCTCGGCGATTGTGCTAAAAAAACGTCGAGACTTTGACTTGAAATTCCCGGCGTTTGGCAGTATTTCACTTCAATTAATTTAAGGGGTTTGTTCCTCGCTCGATGATGAACACGGTGGTGCTTTCAAATCGACGATCAGAGGTTGGACGGCGTCGGAATAGTGGTTGGAAGTTGGGGCTTTGAGGGAGGAAATTTGGTGAAATATTTCATAATGAATTTCACGCTTATAATGCGTGAATGCCGACACTCTAGGGGTAAATTCAGAGTTTGGTCCCTAAATTTCTTTCATCTCTAAAACAAGCTACAAGTTTTAAAAACTTTCAATTTAGTCCCCAAATTTCACCAATTTACTTAATTAACTCGTCCAATTTCAATTAAAATTATTTTTTTTTCAAATTTCTGGGTTGTTACAATTCTCCCCCTCTACAAGAAATTTCATCCTCGAAATTTACCTTATGAAAATTGATGAGGAAACTAAGCCTCCATTGACTCCAAAGTCTCCCAAGTAGCTTCTGAGGGACTATGATTACTCCACTGAACTTTGACCATTGGAATACGCCTATTTCGAAGAACTCGTTCATCCCTCTCTAAAACCTGAACAGGTTCCTCCTCATATGACAAATCATGTCTCAGTTCTACCTCATCAACCTGAATGATGTGATCCGGATCTGGACGGTATCGCCTCAACATAGACACATGAAAAACATCATGAATACGACTGAGCTGTGGAGGTAACTCAAGCTGATAAGCAACAGGTCCAACTTTCTTCAAAATACAATACGGCCCAATAAATCGCGGACTCAGTTTACCCTTACGTCCAAATCTCAATACCTTCTTCCAGGGGGATACCTTGAGAAAAACATGATCTCCAACCTCAAAATCCTTACATCGTTTATCTGCGTATGATTTATGCCTATCAAATGCCTCTTTTAAGCGATCACGGATCAATCTGACAGTATCTTCAGTCTCTCGAACCAAGTTTGGACCCAAAGTTTTTCTATCATGCAACTCAGTCCAACATATAGGAGCACGACATCTACGTCCATACAGAGCCTCGTACGGTGCCATGCGAATACTCGCCTGATAACTATTATTGTAAGCAAACTCAGCTAACGACTAGAAATCTTCCCATCTACCACGGAAATCAATCACATAACCTCGTAACATATCCTCCAATACTTGAATAACTCGTTCAGACTGTCCATCAGTCTGAGGATGAAAAGCTGTACTAAAATTCAAACGAGTACCCAGAGCCTCGTGCAAAGCTTTCCAGAACCTGGAAGTGAACCTCGGATCTCGGTCAGATATGATAGACAACGGTACACTATGAAGTCTAACGATCTCAGAAATGTACAACTTAGCCAGTTTGTCCAAAGAATAATTAATCCGGATAGGAATAAAGTGCGCTGACTTGGTAAGTCGATCAATAATCACCCAAATAGAATCCTTTTTAGGAGTCAGAGGAAGACCAATAATGAAGTCCATCATAATGCGCTCCCATTTCCACTCAGGAATCTTAATTGATTGTAACAATCCAGATGGATGCTGGTGTTCTACCTTAACCTGCTGACAAGTCAAACACCTCGCCACAAAATCTGAAATATTATTTTTCATACCAGTCCAAGAGTAGCGCTTCTTGAGATTATTGTACATTTTGTCCCCGCCAGGATGTATAGCATAAGGACTACTATGAGCCTCCTGAAGAATAATCCGTCTCAACTCATCATCTTTAGGTACGCAGTAACGACCGTGAAAACACAAAATACCATCCTGATTCACAGTATACTCTGAACCTGTTCCCTGCTTAACTTGTTCAATAATGGGAAGCAATGAGCTATCCAGAAGTTGTTTGGCCTTAATCTCCTCGGCCAAAGTGGGTTTAACCTGCAACTCTGCTAACAGACTATTATCATCAAATAAACTCAAGTTAGCGAATAAGGCTCTGATATATGATAATGTCTTACGGCTCAAGGCGTTTGCCACTACATTAGCTTTTCCTGGATGATATTCTATCTCTAAATCATAGTCCTTTAGAAGTTCCAACCAGCGACACTGTCTCAAATTTAATTCTTTCTGAGTAAGCATATACTTAACACTCTTATGATCAGTATACATATAACACTTTTCTCCGTATAGGTAGTGTCTCCATATCTTTAAAGCAAAAACCACGGCAGCTAACTCCAGATCGTGAATAGGATAGTTACGCTCATGCAACTTTAACTGACGCAAATCATAAGCGACAACTTTCCCATCTTGCATCAAAACACATCCTAATCCAGAGTGAGAAGCATCACTGTAGACAGAAAAATCTTTCCCAGATTCAGGCTGAATCAGCACTGGGGCTTGAGTTAGAACAGTCTTCAATTTCTCAAAGCTAGCTTGTTGGTTCTCAGACCAGACAAATGGAACATCTTTCCTCAATAGTTTCATTAGAGGAGCTGCAATAAGGGAGAACCCCTCAACGAAACGACGGTAGTAACCAGTTAAGCCCAAGAAACTACGGATCTCAGAAACGTTCCTGGGTTGCTTCTAGTTCAGAATAACCTCCACTTTGCTTGAATCCACCCGAATACCATCAGCAGAAATGATATGTCCAAGAAAAGTCACTTCGCTGAGCCAAAACTCACACTTGCTCAACTTAGCGTATAGCTTATTCTCCCTTAGAGTATGTAGAACAATCCTTAAATGCTCCTCATGTTCTGCTTCACTTTTAGAATACACCAGTATGTCATCAATGAACACAACTACAAACTGGTCCAAATAAGGTCGAAACACCCTATGCATCAGATCTATAAAAGCAGCAGGGGCATTTGTTAACCAGAATGACATCACTAAAAACTCATAATGCTCATACCGAGTACGG